GCATATTTTATATACATCTTTGCAGTTCGTTTGAGGCTGCATGACCTTGGGCTTGGACGACCTCGATGAATCCTGGCAGCATCTGACCATTGCGTCCATGGCTCATCTCCGCTCCGAACGCCGGATGCCCCGTCCGAGGCCATGGACGCACCGTCCGAGGCCCTGACCCTGGGGCGACGTGTCGAAGCTCCCCGCCTGGGCCGTTTCCAATGCCGCACGTTTCTCACGGTTCGATCGCTTCGAGCAGCTAGGCTAGCAGGTTTTGGGTCTTTGACTAGCCATAATCATCATGTCTAAGTTGTAGTGGAATTAGATGGAATCTGGAATCCTTCGGATAGAAGAACCTCTTCCAAGTTCTTCAACTTCCTCAGCCAGGACTTCCCTGCTTGCGTCCAGGGCTCGAGCGCCCCACGGGTGCTTACTACTCGTACTGCCACGACCATTTGCGGAGGCTCGAACTGTTGGGATGCTTGGGAACGTTTGCAGGTGTGATTTGTTGAAACATTACTCAAGATGTTTGGGTGTCAACGGCTGAATGGTTGTCCAACTTTCATGGTCAAACTTTTAGTTCTTCATGGATCAATGGATGTGGTAACTCCAAGCAACAGTCGTGTCTAGCCGCCTAACTGTATCGAGCACAGGCCTCTCTTCCCATGAGTCTGCATGTTCCCCAAGACGTCTTCCGTCCTCTCGTCGCTGTCTGAGGTGGAAGCAATTTGACCTTCCGGCCTGCACGAAGGAGGCTGGAGACTTTGCAGGTTGGAAGTATCAGCATCATTCAACATGACAAATAAGTGGAGGCTCACCTCTTCCATCCATTTTCATCTTATCCAAGAAACATGGAAGTGGACACGTCTTCTATAGTCAATACTATGTAGTATGCAGTGTTGAACAAATCCAACCCAAACTGCCTACAAACCATTGATCAAGCAGAACTAGCTGTAGTCACTGGGACCGGACGATTCTTTGCCACTCTATCCTGCCAGTACTATTCTCATACACACCGACTCAATATGTCGTCAACCTGATTCATCATAATATCACTGCGCTCGCGACCCGGCAGAGCAAACACTATCACACCTGGACCTCACCCACTCGTTGCAGACACGGCAACGGTCGACCGAATCCTTGACCTCTTTAGGGTTCTGGGCAACGACTTGGCAGATCACGCGGTCTTTCCGAAGCCGGGTTCCAAGACGATGATGAATTCGTTCCCAGCGTCAGCAGCCTCTGTAACTTGGTGCACAAACCTCGCAAAGAGGAGGAATCTGCACTGACGTTCATCTGGGCACATCTTGCTATTCTAGTAGGGTTCCAGCACTGGATCCTTCACGCTTCACACAACATCGAGCCATCGCAACTCACTGCATCATACCCGGCGACTTTCGATTCCCATATTGGTTAACTGGTCCATCACAGGCCTGTGGTCACCTGATGCTCAGATTCCCCTGATTGTGTGTACAAGACAGGGGGATCGCTGACACATACTGTACATGTCTTAAGGGAATCATGGGCGTCGCTCATGCTGTGTGGCAGTTCCTGTTGCCTCAGTGGCTGTAGAATATTTGCCACAGCACGTCGAGGCAGCAATCGACACTTTGTCCGGGAGGATGCCTTTCTCTTCTCTCATTTGGAATTGGTCCCAAATATACGGCTTTGAAATGAAATAAGGCCACGATTGCCGCACAGAAGACATCAGAAGAACTTGCAGACATTGGCAGCTTTGGTCGACGAATTCCCAACAAGTCCCCCATTTCATAACGCTTTACTCACCAACATAATACAGGCACTCGGCTTTTTGCTGTTCCGGATTTGCTTTCAAAAAGACCAGGAATCCCAATACTGTGTTCGATCCATAGTAGTGCCTCCGAATTATATAGATGCTTGCATCCGCTCACACATTGTTCCTCTCAATCATTGCATCGAGTCCGTCCTATTCGGTCCGTAGTTCATGATGTGACACCGTGTACCACCCGTCCCGGAAGCCATTGCCTGAACCATTTTTGAAGGGTCTGTGAGGGGCGAGCCGCAGCGTTTCTCCAGTGCGAGACCATGCGAGACCACCAAACGGCATTTTTTTGGGGTGAGGTGTGACTGATAGACCCCTAGCCTTGTCATGACGTGTGGATGAACTCGACTTCTCCAATGTCTTCCAGACAGGTCACTGCAGATGCAAGACCAGAGGCATCCAGGCTCTGGGCTTCTCCAGCTCCAGGCCATGGACACAGTCGCCTCGACCGCCCGTGGCCGGCCCAAGACGGCCGCCCGCGGCCAGGAGCAGTCCAAGATGCCTCCAACTTCTCACCCCAGACACCTCGGTCTGGAACTCGGAAGCACAGAGGGACAGGAGGGGCGCTGTCTGGCTTGACACGTCGTCCTTTACCACCATTTGACTGAAGGAGTTTGCTGTTTGATTTGATTGGCAGCTGAACTGATGAGGCAAATGTCTGGTCGTACTGCACTGAAGCGGATCGAAGAGGCCTTGAGGAAGCGAGGCGAGTCTCGTGAAAGCCTGTCCTGTTCTTCTCCAACGGCCTTGATTGCAGACTCCCAGGATCAAATCTCCTTGTTTGGGTTTTCCAGACACTTCCAGAGGCTTTTGAAGAGGCTTCCAGAGGGTTTTGAAGAAGCTTCCAGAGGGTTTTGAAGAAGCT